ATTAGCATAATTTAACAGACAAAGGGGGGGCGGATATCTGTGTGACTGTTTGCATGCTTTGAACTTCTTGGTCCTTTGGGGCTGATGATGGCCAAGTGACCCATATTTAAAAAGCATTTACAATAAAATGATGCACTTTCTTTTGTGCCATCAGCTTCTCCAATGAAAAGAAAAAATGTTTTAAAATTGTCCCTTTTTGTCAGCGGTAATGGCTGTGCTGTATTTCAGCTCGTCCCCCGTGTGGGCATAGAAAGGGGAGGGTATAAAGGGCACAGCTGTGGACACTTTATGGCCTGCTGGCGGGGAGGGCAGCGGGGGAGGCAAGAAACAGATTGACTGCCTGTCAACAAATGCAGCTGGGAAGAGAGAAAGCTCTTAAAGACCCCCGCAACTTCAAGTCCAAGATAAATGATGTTCCTATTTGGAAAGGGAGAGAAATGGAGGTGGAATTCAATAACGGCTGAAAAGAGGAGGGTTCCAAAGGCCTTTCTTTCTCTGCAGCTAGGCAGCTCCCGAGAGAAATGAGCCAAAGTGGCCCTAGGAGAGGGGGTGTGCAGCCCAGAGACACAACCAAGCCACATCCTGGCCAACGTGCCCTACAGGCCCGGCCTGGCAAAGCTGGGCAGGAGGGCGCCCCGCAGGTGGGGGGTGGGCGGTCTGGTGGAGAGAACCGCCGGGAAACAGACACACTGCTGCCTCCAGCCACAGGCCGTGCGTTTGGGGAAAAGACAGAAGAGCCTCAGATGACCCCTCAGGTGTGAGGCTGTGCCCTGTTATGACAGAGAAAACACTGTGGCGCGGCCCGGGGACCTGATGGAGCCCAGCCCTGGCCCTGACCAGCTCTCACGGTGGCCGCCCTGCGCCTTTGGCTGCTTATGAAAACTTCCCCTTCCGTCATCTCATTTGAATCTCACCAACACCCCAGAGGCAAGCACAGGTGAAACCTAAGGTTCTGGAGGTGAATGAGGAGGCGGGATTCACCTCCAGGAGCGGCTGTCTCCTCCTTACAACCCATCAACTCTCCGAGGCCGCTTGCCTGGTGAGTGGACAGGCAGCTCTCCTTCAAGGAGACCACGAAGCCTCCACAGGGAAGTAGCTGAGTTTTCTGGTGCACGCACTCCCTGCAGATGTTGGTGGGCACCAGCTTTTTAAAAAGTTATATATGTAATTTCAGAGAGGAAGGAAGAGGGAGAGAGAGATAGAAACATCAACGATGAGAGAGAATCACTGATCAGCTGCCTCCTGCATGCCCACTCCTGGGGATCGAGCCCTCAACCCGGGCATGTGCCCTGACCGGGAATCGAACTGTGACCTCCTGGTTCTGAGGTTGACACTCAACCACTGAGACACATCGGCCAGGCAGTGAACACCAACTTCAAAGCAGTTTTAGCCATGAGTTTGCAAGGAACAGAAACCTCCACTCAATGGGCCTTAAGAGAAGGAAATATATCACGAAAACCAGAAGCCCAAGGTGGTGACTCAGTGACTCTATGACAACAAAAGGGACAATCCTGTAACCTTATTGCATTTATAGGAAGTACAAAACAGACAGCCAGTCTGTGCAGGCAGAAGGTGGGGTAGAAATGGCCCTCAGGGGTTAGTGTCCAGAAGGAAGCATGAGTAGGGCTGGGGGTAGGGGGGCACCCACATTTAGGAGATGTGCACTGGCCTGTAGGTAGGTTCTCGCTCCCTGTTTTAAAAATAGAGACTCTGGAGTCATACAAGCTTGGCTTTGACTCCTTGATGTAGCAATGACTTTGGGCAACTGACTTCTTCTTCCATCATCCCCAAAGTTCTACTGGACAGTACTGTTCTAAACATTATACCAAAATAGAAATGTTTAAAGTAGCGGTCACCGACCGGTGGTCCGTAGACCACTGGTGGTCTGTGAGGTCCGAAAGGTTGGCGACCGCTGGTTTAAAGGGTAAGATAAAAGAATAGAAATTCCAGTATTTTCTTCCCACGCCTTAGTACATACCTGGCAGACATGCAAATCACCACCTTCTTTAGAGATCACCGCTTTAGACGTCTGATGCTCATGGTGAATTAAAAAACAAAACACTGCCCAGCCGCATGGCTCAGTGGTTGAGCATCGACTCAGGAACCAGGAGGTCTAGGTTCGATTCCCAGTCAGGGCATATGCCCGGGTTGCAGGCTCCATCCC